AGGGAAGGGGAGGGGAGGGAAGGAGAGGGGAAGAGACAAAATGGTCCAGCAAATATTACGACATTTATCCAAAACAATAAAGTTCCAGGCTGGCTAAACTCTTCGCAGACCTACCCAAGTGCTAGATACCTTTCTTCAGTTGTAGTATACTTGTGGTATAATTTAAACTCCTTACCCCATTTCTGCTCCATATTTGCAAAAGTCCAAATATGCAGAAGAATCCCACTTCTTCTTATACTTCAGAAAACAACCACTTTTGGAAGTGTTCCATTTCCTCAGGGCCTTAACACTGACTGGCATCCTCATCGTGGATACTTGGTGCGACCTTATTCATTTAGGTTTGCCTAAGCTCATTCATTTCCCAAGGTTTCTACCAGTCAAGAATGAGACCCCAGTGGAGAGAAGCCGAGGATTGCCAGGTGAGGGTGGTGCCACAGTTAGAGCCCAGAGACTCCAAACAGAGCGTTTGGGTCTAGACCCCAAAGACATCACCTTTACCCAGCTTGCGCCCCTGTGACGTGGGGTCCCAGTTTCACCTACTCACTATGCTGGGGGGTGGGGCATACCTGGCCCTTAGATGAAGAAGCTGAAATTCACTTTTAATCATCCTTTTTCCATGAAAGAATCTCTCACTAAACATTTTATTCGTTTAATTCTCTGTAGGGGGAATGAATCACATTTTACAAGCAGTCTCTAATGTAAAAACTAATAAAACTAAGCTGGTGGGAAAGCCCGAAGTGAATGATGGGCCAAATAAAACACAAAGTAGCCCAACGTAATGACGTTATGCAGTGTTATGAGCGTATTCATGGATTGCCTTTTCCCCACCTCACAGCAGTCTCTGGCAGTGGGGACTGTAGGTAGCCACATGGTTTCCCTTTGTGCTGAGGATTTGGATTTTGCTATTTACAGGTGTAGCAAAGAACCTAGATTAATGTTTTGCCTTCCTAACACTCGTTGGCATATGTACGGTTGGTTGGTTTTGATGCGTCTGTTCTGCTTCTCTCTCTGAACTGCCTTGTCATGGACCTGAGGCAGCCAGGAGCACAGGTCCTAGCAATGTTGTGCTCTGCAAAGCTCCCAGGGAAGTTCTACCTCCTTCCCCACGTGAGACTTAAATGGCCACAGCCCTGTCTTTCCTGAAACTCCCCTCACATGTTCCATGTTCCTGAATCATTCTTCCCAGAGAAGACACTGGTCTAAATACTGAATTCTCACTGTCGTCTCTCACTTTCAGGGAGGCCTAGGGCTGTAACTAGGAGAACTCACTCATTAATGGTGACATTTCAGGCATGGCTACCAAAGGCATCTGTGGACAGGAAATTCTCTCAGACTTTCTGCAAAGTTGCAGGGGTATACACGGCTCCTCCACAAAAAGAAGTGACTTCAAACTAAAATTCCTGCTCTTTCCCCACAGGACTTTTCAGAGACAAAGAACAGAACTAGGATTTTTTTTTTTTTTTTTTTTTTTTTAAGGTTTTATAAACTCTTCCCACACCCCTATAAACCCTTCCTACATTCTTGTGCACCTTCCCGGGGAGACCCTTCTTCTCAAAGCCTCAGTTTCCAGCCAGGGCAGCCCCTGGAGATGCCCGGGTGAATTGGCATCTCAGCTCTGAGGGCAGGTGGGGATGGAGCGTGGGAGTGGGCAGGGGAACAGGGCATACGGGACTCTGCTGAGCCACAGCCCAGCTGAGCTCAGCTGTCAGCCTGCACTGCTCACAACTGCCCGGGCTGGCTTATAGTGCGGGTGGGAGCCAGAGGCACTGCCATGCACCCTCCTCACCTATAACCATTGCCTGCCCAGTGTGGGTCCACGCGCGCAGCCAGGTGGCTTTGCCAGGCTGGGGCTGGCAGTAGTGGTGTACTGCATTTCCACTGTGTAAAGTACGGTATTCATCTGCTGATGAAATACATACTGTACAGTATTTTATTTCAATTTAATATTCTTTTAACTTTTTTTATATT